ATAAAAGTTAAGTTTAAAGCGTCGATAAACGTACTGATTGGGGAACTAACGTGTACTAAAAGTTTGTATGGAGGAAGAGTAAACTGGTTTAATCAAGAAAGGACTTGTATCGCTGAAGATCCTCGGAAATATTTTCTACCGGAAACAAACAAACAAGCAGATATGTAACAATAATTAAACTTAAAGTGGTTAAAACTTCGTTTAAATTTTATATCAATCCACAAAAATTAATTACACGTTTTCCTTGTTACAAAATACAGTGGTTTAGTCTCATGTTTACAGTAATCTTGTGGCAGTATCAGTAATTCAAGTTTACAGTGATCTCGTGTCACAGCATATAACCACCTCACACTTCTGGCCATTCATTGCACACAGTTTGCTCTTTAAGCCTAACTGGACTATGGTTGTCTGCTGCCGTATGGCAGATTTTAATAATTTGTGGATTTCTGCTTATATGTGGAAAATTCCTTGTTATTCCGATTTATTTACAAAATTTAAAAGACTAAAGAGAATTTTTGAAACAGAGAAACAATGAAAAAGGAGTTCAATAAAGTTAATTACAATGTGTAGTACCCCAGTGAGATTTACGGACTTACAATGCTAAAATGCAGGGTTCGATTCCCCGTCGTGGACACAGCAGATAGCCCAGTGTAGCTTTGCTCTAAAATAAACATTAAAATGTATAATTTTTCTTTACATTTTATTTTCAAATTGACAAGTACTAATAGTCTTTTTATGTTAAAAAATAACTGTGAAAATATCTAAAAGCAATCAACAACTAAAACGACAGATTTCTTGTCCATTTTTTGATCTATGAAGAAAATGTGAAATATTACCTGATTGAGCAAATTCCCCCCAGAATTTGACCAATTAATGTCTTTGCTATGTCGCCAGATGGCACTGGATATCTAAGTACGTAGTCTTCGATGGGACCGCAGGGACAAGCCTCAGTATCTTCAAATACTTGATGCCACCAGTAACTTACTAAGGTCAGGGTTAACCCTAACGCAACGTAGCCGTGGCGCTCGTAGACTACACCTGGTGGTTAATTATAATTAGAGAAAATAAAGAACAGGTTAAATCAATATAATAATCTGTATATTGTTGCGTCATCGAGATCATGTGATTCTCACGCTCTCTACTTTCTAGAACTATCCTGTACTTTGGCGAATGCTCTAGTA